CCAAGGAGAATTACTCTGTAAAAATGCTGCGACCGTACGCAAAACAAAAGTTGACCTAGATATTCATCCGATCTATCTGTATATTTAATTTCATTTCAGCATGTGCAACCTCTGCGAAGAAAATGAACGGAAACTGCAAATAATTGGAATTTTTCTAAGTCCAAGGGGCATAACTCTGTCAAAAATGGTGCGACAGTATCCAAAACAAAACTTGACCTAGATATTTATGTATAACAAATTTCATTTCAGTATGTGCAACGGTTGTGAAGAAAATGAACGGAAACAAAGTAGACCAACAGACAGACCGACCAACAGACAGCAGCAAAGCAATATGCCCTCCATTCTGCGAAGGGGGCATAATAAATATCCATAATATCTTTGTATATATGCACTATCAGTATCTTGTATAATGGAATGGCATGTCGAAATTAATGTTATATATATATATATATATATATATATATATATATATATATATATATATATATATATATATATATTTATATAAAGACAAATATCTAGAAAAAAGCAAGATTCTTAAGAGCCATATTACTTGAAAATTTTGAAAAATCTTGAAAAACCTACATCAAAATCATGGATAGTTGTATCCACATTTTCCAAATATGGCCTGTAAAAAAATTACATTCATAATTATTAAATGTAGGAAAAAGTGAAAAAGACGAAAACGTATACGAATGTAACATATTCTCATGGAATGATACATGTACAACAGCCATTTCACTTTCAATGAAATCCGGTGACAAAAAAAGTTAATACCAAATCGCATTTTAACAAAGAATCTCTACATAAAAACGATAGAAAAAAACTTACTCAAAAGCCACGACTTCCCCACATAAAAGTGAATCTTTCATAAAAATTTTGATTCGTATATCAAGACTCTGTAAAGGAAAAAAACGTAGGCTAGGTTAATCTTGTTTTCCGACATTTTACACAAATAACTCAGTAATAATCGCGATATATAGTCATAAGACCCTTTTGATTGCAAAGTAAATTTTCTTTATTTTTTATTTATAATTTTGATTTGAATGGTAAAAATTGAACTGCTTTTAATCATGATTTGATGAGGTTCATAATATATATTACTTACTCCATCCAATTTGGCAATCACTGTAGAATTAGGCATTTTATCCATTGGATTTCGAATGTATATAAACATAACTGCACAGAACTTCAAAACAGCCAAATTCTTCTCAAATGTCACGTCTGGTGTTTCCAAACTGTAGATGTCCAAATCCATATATTGATTTGGATATTTATCTTCTAGCTATGACAAAAATTCAAGAAACAATTTTTTTTTTTAATTTAGCATGGGCCACAACGCTCATTTGAGTCACTTTGTCCCTTCGTATACACTTTGATTCCCTATCTAGGCCCCATCCTAACCTTGGGGCATGTTTTGAACAGTTTAGAATTTACATTTAGTCTGATTCAAAAAGCTTCCATGTACGTTTTAGCTTTTCTGATTTTCAATGCGTTTTCCTAAATATTTCAATGTAAAATTTTGATTCTCCATAGTGGCCAAACCCTAATCAAGGGGTTATTATAATTTAGAATATATTTTAGAAAGCTTCCACATAAATCTCAGCTTTTCAGGCCCAAAATGTCGTGTGAAGAAAATTTTTCAGATTGTTTGATATATTTCAATGTCAGTAGAAATTTGATTTCCAGTTGTTGCCAAGATAAGCTGGACGATTAAACCTTCTAATAGATCTATGATATAATATGGAGATTGATTCCGATATGTTAATTTGATTTGTCTCAATATATATTTCAGTTTACCTACATACATGTACCAAAACAGGCGATGCATCTACAGCTATGCGATAGACTTTGGTGTCACGGATTTTAAGTTTCTTTTTGAAATGCGACAACAAAAAGGAAGTGAAAGAGATGTTGGCCAGCCATCGGCGATGGGGATTAAAAAAAGATTTTTTTTTTTATTCAAAACACTAAAAAGTGGACGTGAATTAGTTTTGCTCGATAAGTGTGAAAATGGAAGCCTTTGGGAAATATCGAATTTCACTTCAAGTATGTCGCAACCATTGATTTTACCATTTTGAAGTGGACCAAAAAAGCTAGGAAAGCAAACAGGTTTTGGGGAATTTATCCAGCACAGGATGTTTTTTCGTAACTGCAAATTTTCCTTTTCGTTTGGATCGAAATAAGTGTAAATTCTGTGTGGAAACAAGTTTTTAAAAGTGGTTGACAAAATCTTAACCATTATACATGCACAAAGAAATATTGTTCCGCATTGTAAAACAAACCTCTGGCACTAGACGTCCTACACAAACACCCTTGGAACATGAAATATTCAATCCCGGATTTCCTGGACCAAGCTAAGAAATCAAACGATAATATAAAATCAAATTTTAAAGTTGTTTTTACATGTATATGGAAAAATGTCTTATAATTGTTGATTCTTCTTATCATATGTTTAGGGTCTATAAGGTGTAAATATATAAAGCTTAATATTTCTAATTACTGCATAACGTAGAAACGCGTGTAAGTTGATCTGTCATCCAGAAAGGTTTCGTCTGCAATTAACTTCGTTGTTTCGAAAGTTACCCTACCCAATAAATAGGCATGTAACGAATTTGTGTGGGATTTAATTTCGTTGATAATAGTTTACAACGAAATAAATATAATTTAATCCCCAACGAATATATGTGCTTTTACAGATATTAAAAGTTTGTAAGTGATATATGCTTATGAATCCTTTTTATCATGTAATTTATTTGGACACTTTTTATCATTAAAAATGTAGAACTGAGAAAGAGAGATCTTTAAAGTATTAATCACTTTAAAAAAGGAGATTATTGAAAAAAAAAATCATTTCAAGAGTGAAAGGGAATTCACGAGGATTCAAAATCCCACAAAGTTGTCCGACATCAGTATCTAAAGGCATATTTTTTTCCCTTATTTGGACTACAACACTTACCTTCTCTGGGGTAATAGTGTAGCATAACATCCCATGAGTTTGAACACCTTTGAACAAATTCTGAACTACATCTTTAGAGATCCATATGTATACCATTTTTGATGAGTCATTATGCAGAGTATAATTGACTGTTTTCCGATTGTAATATTCCTCCAAGGTTGGATACCATAGCAATTCACCCTAGAATACAAGTTATAATTTCACACTAGGATGTAATGCAAGGAGTTGCAATTTCATCCTAAATTGTGTAAAATAGAACCGAGTTTTCACGTTTTAAGCAATAAATATTTTTTTTTTGAATTTCTAAGTTTTTTTTTCTATTTACATCTGTATGTCCCCGTGATCGAAGATTCGGTGATATATATATATATATATATTTTTAGTCCGTCCGACTGTCTATCTGTCTGTTTGTCCTAAAAATCTTTAACCTTGCCAATAACTTTTGATTGGATGGAGATATGACTTTCATACATGTATTTCACACGACGTGTATTTCTTGGGACAAAACCTTTCTTTGGTTACCAACAAATTTGTCCTCTTGACCTTGACCTTGGAGTCTAACCCCCTTTTTACACAACAAGAGGCCCACGGGCCTTATAGGTCACCTGAGCATTATGCAACAACTTTCCAGTTATTGAATTTGATTCATGTTTTAACTTAAGCCAGATGATATATGGCATTCACAATTTTGAAAGAGGCACCATTGATCATCATAACAGTACACTTAGCAGTTGCTTAGCTTGGTTACTAAATACCCATACGCAGGGTAGGGGAACAAAAATGCATTCCAACTAATCAGTAATATTCAGCAATAATCAGTAGTGCCCCTAACACTGTGACATAAACCCCTGACCCTAGGTCCACACATTGCACAAATTTTAAAAAGGCACTCTTAAAATTGCCTATCAAAAAATAAATAAATGTTTTATAAATATAAAGGAGCATATTTCAAACATTTAATTCATTTTCAGTATTTAAGTAGAGCCCCCCCCCCTCCCTACCCCTGACCCAGGGTCCTTGAAATTCACAATTCTGCAAGATTAGGGCCCTTGCTCATCATGACTATATAGGTAGTTCATCTGCTTCATACCCAGAGACAGAGAAGAAAATTTTCAAAGATTTAATGTATTTTCACTATATAATCAATAGAGCCCCGCCCTAACATCAGAACCCCTGACCCTGGGGCCATAAAATTCATAATTTTAGAAGAGGCATTCTTGCTCATCATAACTATGTACTTAGTTAGTTTATTTAATTCCTAGGAGCAGAGAAGACGATTTTCAAAGAATTCACGTATTTTCAATATATAATCAATACTAGCCCTGCCTTAACACCAGAACCCCTGACCCTGGGACCATAAAATTCACAATTTTGGTTGAGGCTCTCTTGCTCATCATAACTATACACTTAGTTAGTTTATTTAATACCTAGGAGCAGAGAAGAAGATTTTCAAAGAATTCATGTATTTTTACTATATAATCTATAGAGCCCCCCCCCTCCTCAACACCAGAACCCCTGACCCTGGGACCATAAAATTTACAATTTTGGTTGAGGCACTCTTGCTCATCATAACTATGCACTTAGTTAGTTTATTTAATACCTAGGAGCAGAGAAGAAGATTTTCAAAGAATTCATGTATTTTCACTTTATAATCAATAGAGCCCCCCCCCCCCCAACACCAGAATCCTTGACCCTGGGGCCATAAAATTCACAATTTTGGCTGAGACACTTGCTCATCATAACTATGTACTTGGTTAGTTTATTTAATACCCAGGAGCAGAGAAGAAGATTTTCAAAGAATTCATGTATTTTCACTATATATAATCAATAGAGCCCCACCCTAACACCAGAACCCCTGACCCTGGGGCCATAAAATTCACAATTTTGGTAGAGGCACTCTTGCTCATCATAACTATGTACTTAGTTGGTTTATTTAATACCCAGGAGCAGAGAAGAAGATTTTCAAAGAAATAATGCATTTTCACTATATACTTATTTAGCCCCGCCCTAGCACTAGAACCCCTGACCCCAGGGCCATGAATTTCACAATTTTGGTAGAGGACTCAATGCTGATTACAATCATGCAAACAGTTTGACTGCTTGATGTCCAGGAGTAAAGAAGAAGATTTTTAAAGATTGCATTAATTTTAGTGGTTTTGGCCCCACCCCTCAGGCCCCAGGGGGGCAGGGATCATGAAATTCACAATTTTTGTTTCCCTTCAGCCATAGATGCTTTGTGCCAAATTTGGTTGAAATTGGTGCAGTGGTTGCAGAGAAGAAGCTGAAAATGTTCAAATGTTAACACACGATGGACGACAGACGACGCACGACGACGGACGAAAACGGATAGCAATAGGTCACCTGAGTTTACTCAGGTGACCTAAAATTCCAAACTTTTACTTTATGGTAGATACTAGAACTTTTATACTTCACATAAGTTTTCTTTGTAGCAAGGCCTTTCATTGATTATCAACAACTTTGACCTTTTGATTTTGACCTTGGAGATTTCCGTACTTATGACGACTTAAACCGGCCATAATTTCCGAACGGTAAGGGCTCGGGCTTTCAAACTTAACTTATGTAATCCTTGTGAGGAAACCTTTTATTTGATATCAAGAACTTTGATCTTTGACCTTGACCTTGAAGTTTGACCTAGCTACCAGTACTTTTTAAAAAACTTTAACATACTTTTGTCATACGTGGGCATCAGTATTTTACAAACATCTTGTTTACATCGTTAATAAATTTATGTGGAGGAAATTCATTTGTTGAACAAACTTTTTTTCTACTAGCAAGCTTTGTATCAAACTACAGATACTGTGAACACTGAGCTCACTAAATGACACCCCGCCTCCTATATGATTATGATGGCAAAGTCCATGTTTTGCTCCAGCTAGCTCGGAGACCCGAAATACATGTAAGTGTAGGATCAAAAAGTAAAATTAAAGGTAATAATTATAATACTATGTAGCACGCATCCCGAGAGTATTCCATTAGTTCCAAAACGGCAAGTGTAATTACAGACCCTGAGACGTGCTACTACCCCAAAAAAGCGTGTGAATTTCGTGCGCTTTCCGTTTCGTGCAAACCGTGTAGCGTTTCGTGTAAACCGTGCAGCGTTTCGTGTAAGCTCAAAAGCGTTTCGTGCAAACCGTGCAGCGTTTCGTGTAAGCTCCAAAGCGTTTCGTGCAAACCGTGTAGCGAGCGTGCGAAAAGTGTGTGAGAAACGTGCGACTTCCGTGTAAGAACCGTGTGAGAAACGTGCGACTTTCGTGCAAGAATCGTGTAAGATTCATTCGGAAGTCATTTCATTTTAAATATGGCTATCGATGGGTCAGGATGTAAAATTCTATTAGTATTTTATTATTGAATTAGTTATGCTTGTGATATTATAGGAGTAAAAACAACAAAAAAAATGGAACAACAAAATGAAATTAAACGGTAATGTATAATTTATATTTGTTTGATTAATTTTCCTTCTATAGAAAATGTGTTCAAATTAATCAACTATGTACAACAATTTTAAGGGCATTGGATTCAATATACTATCAACGCGATCATTTTTTTTTGATGGCTTATCAAATATTTTTTTACATTTGAAACGAATTTAATACTTTTTAATACATAAATACCGGTATTGTTTTTTTTTAATTTATAAGCAAAAATTTATCAGTCTCACCGCTCTTTGCCGGCTCTTTACATTTGAAACCATGTTACGTCATTTAATACTTTTTAATACATAAAAATTATAATACGAAGTTTTATCTATATAAAATTAAAACTTGTCAAAAAACATAAATAGGATTTTATAATTTTAACTCACATGCACTAAAACGACCACATCTTTATAACACGCTGCGGGGATTCTGACAAAACCGGACCGTGGTATTAGGATTGAAAAACTCACTGTCAGTGTCTTATCATTTATAATTAAATTTTTTTTCTCACTAATACAGTCTTTCATTTTTTGTTGTAACTTTCAATCTAATGTTAGATTAAGCAAACGCTTAATTTTCTTTTCTTTTTTAAATCCTTTGTTAAATGTGTGCGCAGATACACCCCTTAAAAATGTATTGGAATCTTCTTTCCGCCTTTCAATTGTGATCAAGGTCATTTACAACAGCGATCACGGGCTCCGAGTGCATGGCAACTGAGAACCTGTTTTGCTATATGTACATGTTGAGTTCACAGCTTAATGACACCTGAAAATTACGACTGAATTTTATTCTTTTTTTAAATGAAATGGTTCTATAAATATTTAATGGGTACAACTTATAAATCAGCCGATTTCATCTTTTATTTGTAAATCCGAATTTCTAGCCGTAAACAGTAAAATAAACAGAACTGATTTGGTAGTCTTTTCATGAATATCATGTAAGAAAAGCTTAGGAGTAAATCATGAATAATTGTATATTATTTGTTTTATAAAAAATCACGTACTTTTTATTTCATCTAAGATATTTCAGTTTTCTTGTAATATACCTGAATGCCGGTGTAAAGATCGATCTATATTGTATGTACAATGTATAGTCAAATGCCGTGACTATTAATAAATGTACACTTATATACATATGTTTAGTCCTGTTTTGAAATGAAGGATTTTACAGTATGATGGGTATACTGATGTTATTTGATAAGCTTCATGTAAAAAGAGAATAGAATAGATTAATAGATCACATTAACCCCCCCCCCCCTTTACCGGTTTCCCTCCTATTGATAATGCTTGCGTAAAATAAGAAGAATATTTAAAAATGTATCAATAATCGTTAGTAGAGTATATAAGCAAATTTTAATACTAATCTAAAATCAAAATCACGAAAAATAATCCGCCTACAATATAATCAATATTATTAAAAATCAATGAGTTTATTTGTGTTTAATTTATTAAATTATACTCGTAAAAATATTACATTGAAATGAATGACTAATGCCTATATATAAGAATTGTATTTTATTAAACAGTCATTCATGATATTGGCATTTCGTTTTTAAACAGTTGCATAAATAAATAAATAAATTTGAACTGACAATTATTTATCAATTAATTACAACTGTCAGAGTATTAAATATTTCTATCGGTTTATATAATACAAGTGTACTGAAATTTAATTCAAACAGCTGCTTAATGTTGCTTTGTGAAAGATTTCCTTTGAATTAATGATAAAACGGTAATAATGCCCGAAATATTCCGAGTAGAAATATCCAAACTGAGGCCAAAACGTGCGAGAATCGTGCACAAAGCATGTAAGAAACGTGTACAAAGCGTTTCGTGCAGCCTTTCGTGTAAACCGTGCAGCCTTTCGTGCAAAGCGTTTCGTGTAAACCGTGTAGCGTTTCGTGCAAACCGTGTAGCGTTTCGTGTAAACCGTGCAGCGTTTCGTGCAAACCGTGTAGCGTTCGTGTACCGTTCGTGCAGCGAGCGTGTGGGGTAGTAGCACGTCTCAGGGTCTGTAAGTTCACATTGAAAATTTCATAGGCTGTATGTAATTTTACTCAAATATCATTGAAATGGAACAAAATATTAGTTGTTCTGTAACTCATCAAGATCGATACACCGACATACCAAAATTCAGCTCAATATCTGCAAGAGGTTGGAAAAAAGTTTGGAAACTATTACACTTTAAAAGGAACAATATTTCAAAAGTTATTGCTAAGGTTAAAGTTTTTAAAAAGTATGTAAAACTCCAAGGCTAAAGGGTCAAAGTTCTAGGTATCCAATGAAAGGTCTTGTCACAAGTATTAAACATGTAAAGTATGAAAGCCTTAGTCCTAACTCTTCAAAAGTTATATTCAACGTTTGTTTTTAGCTCTACTGGTCAGAGACCAGAAGAGCTTATGCGATAGTAAGGTGTCCGTCGTCCGTCCATCTGTCTGTCTGTCCGTCTGTCTGTAAACAATGTTTCAAAACGCTACTCCTCCTACAGTTTTGATCTGATTTTAATATAACTTGGCACACAAGTAGACTACACTAAGATACATAAAATAGTGCATGGGTTTTTGATTTCGATGAGCCATGTTGCCATGGTTACTAAAAATAGAATTTTCTGTGAAATTCCTTTAAAATGCTACTCCTCCTACAGTTTTGATCTGATTTCAGTATAACTTGGCACACAAATAGACTACACTAAGATACATAAAATAGTGCATCGGATTTTGATTTCGATGAACGGTGTTGCCATGGTTACTAAAAATAGAATTTTCTGTGAAATTCCTTTAAAACGCTACTTCTTCTACATTTTTGATCGGATTTCAATATTACTTGGCACAGAAGTAGACTACACTAAGATACATAAAATAGTGCATCAGTTTTTGATTTCGATTAACCATTTTGCCATGGTTACTAAAAATAAAATTTTCTGTGAAATTCCTTTAAAACGCTACTTCTTCTATAGTTTTGGTCTGATTTCAATATTACTTGGCACACAAGTAGACTACACTAAGATACATAAAATAGTGCATCGGTATTTGATTTCGATGAACGGTGTTGCCATGGTTACTAAAAATAGAATTTTCTGTGAAATTCCTTTAAAATGCTACTCCATCTACATTTTTGGTCTGATTTCAATATTACTTGGCACACAAGTAGACTACACTAAGATACATAAAATAGTGCATCGGATTTTGATTTCAATGAACGGTGTTGCCATGGTTACTAAAAATAGAATTTTCTATGAAATTCCTTGAAAACGCTACACCTTCTACAATTTTGGTCTGATTTCAATATAACTTGGCACACAAGTAGACCACACTAAGATACATAAAATAGAACATCAGTTTTTGATTTCGATGAACAGTGTTGCCATTATTACTAAAAATAGAAATAAATATCTGTGAAATTCCATTAAAACGCTACTCCTACATTTTTGGTCTGATGGCAATGACTTCTTTTCTCATCCTTTGTTATAAGTACAAACTAGTAGAGCTACAGTCTCGACAGAGACTTCTGGTTAAAAAGTTGGTTAAACTCCAAGGTCAAAGTACTTGGTATATCAAATGAAAGGTCTTAGCTTGTCACGAAGAATAGATGTATATGAAGTATGTAATATCTAGTATCTATTTTTCAAATGTTACGGCCAAAGTTTAGAATTTTTGTGTAAAAGAGTGTCAAATTCCAAGCTCAAGGTCAACTTTGATAAAGAAAGGTCTTGTCACAAGGAATGCACATGTAAAATATGAAAATTATATCTCCATTTAAGCAAAAGTTATGGGCAAAGTTTTTGCGGACAAACAAATAGACAGACAGGTGGACGGACATAACAAAAACCATATGCCCTTGAATTTTCGATTACGTGGCATAAAAGCATTTGCTGCAGAACTGTAGTTCTCCGTTTGAGAAAATTCGGACCGATAATCCAGAGAGCTACCGATCCGAGCGTTGTAAAAACCTTCAATTTACGCCGCCACTTTTCGTCACTCACTTGGAATATTATTTCTTGTATATAATGCTTTCAACTGTTTTAGAAATTGTATTTTATAATTATCCAGTACAATCAACGCCTATTCCTGATATTTCATTTACCTTTGAACGGTTTTAAAAGGTCGTTTGTGGTTACAGACGTTGAAATGGGAATCTTTTAAACGGAAATTTGAAAATTATATAGGACTGTTTTGTACCGCTGAAAGGTGAATAAACTATCAATATAACATTGTAGGATAAAAAAAATTATTAATTGTTGAATACCATTCTAGAATTGGGGGAAAGCATAGATTGCAAGAAATAATATCTTAGGTGAGCGACAAAAAAGCGGCAGCGTAAATCGAAGATTATAATTACAAATCAATGCTTGGCTCTGTAACTCTTTAATTTTTCTATCCAAATTTTCTCAAGCAGAGAAATAGTTCTGTAGCTAAAAAGAATATGAACACTTAAATATTAATTACATGTACCTTGTGATAAAAATTTACAAATCTGGACTCATATTTTGGCTCCTCCTGCAACCGGAGGTCTCCGATAAATGTTGTGTTGCCTATCCTTGGTGTCACTATAATTGTAACAAAATTATAAGAATAAAATTCCTTTTTGATTTTTTTGGTCGAAGCCAATTATATCTGGACAGCCTAAAGTGATTTACCCATACAACGTTAAAGATTTAGGTATACTGTAAAAATTTTGAATTAAATAGGTTGGAGAAACTACAAAATTTTCAACTTCGTTATTTCATAAGTCATTTAAGTAAAAAGATCAACAACTTTTCTAGGCTTTTTTTGTTTGTTTGTTTGTTTTGTTTTGTTTTTTGTTGTTGTTGTTTTTAATTACGATTTTGATATTTGACGTGCCAGATTATGTCAGAACCGGCGCCATAGTAAAAAGCGGAAATTTCTGCTCTCAATATCCGATTGAATTCAAAATTTAAAACATGGCATTATGATTATGAGATTATAATCATTAGATGGAATAGACTTACAATTAATATTGTTCATTTCTTTGTTGCCTCTCGTAAAGAAATAGAAACGTAATAATGTACACATCTGGAAGAAAATATAATTGCGTTTTTCAAATCAGTTCTTAGCAAACAAAAATGAAAGTCATTCTAGATAATTTGTACACTTTTCGAATCATATTTTATTTGCAATCACTAAGTTAGATTATAAATTAACATGTAATATATAAATGTAGGTAAAGGTAATATTAATCTAAATGACACTAGCAACGAACAGTAATCATGATCAAATGGGGAGTAAAAATCATATAAGGAACAGTTGGCATTCGACTTCGTGCTAGTATTAATTAGATCATTTTATCGACCACAGATGAGACTTTTGATATCATTGTTTCATTGACTTGTTTCTATCATTCAAATTAAAAATCATTCAGTATTGAATGAATTGAGCTTTATTTCGTGTCAATAATTTAATCTGTCAACTTTGTTTATATTTAGAAATTCACCATAGTATTAAATGAATTGAGCTCTTTTCGTGTCAATAATTAGCTGGGGTTTGCTGAAAGCAAACTCCTGGCTATAGGCATCATGATCGACTGACTTACTATAAATAGCACGGTAAACAACAAACCAAAAAGCGTCAAAACAGACGCTTCCGATAAACAAAATAGTCCCATTGGGAGACGATATTCAAACAAATATTTTTAACATCCCAATCGTTGGCGTGAAGAAATAAGATATTTGCTTTATTGGGATAGTCTAGAAATAACAATTTGTGCATATACGCTGCTGAATGCATAATGTAAGCAAACTATTTTCAATAACGCGGCCTTTTCAGATGTTGAAATTGTCGAAGAGCTGCATGTTTCATATCTTTTTCGCCGATGTTATTTTAGTGGCTATATTCTGTTTTGATCTTTAGCAAATGAATAGTACAGTGTATTGGATTTCTAAGAATTAACATGCGTGAAGTCGCTTGACAATGTACATATATCAGTGTTTAGAACTACATATAGTTGACGATAAAAGTATACTGTTAGAATGTCTATAAAATACACATGTGCATAATCTTAACGATTTCAAGACTGAATTTTTAAATTATGAGAAAAAAAATGCTTATTGAAGAGAAAATATGCGAGAATTCCTTAGAAATATAATTATTATTTTTTATATCTTGGGGTCTGGCCTGTTAATTTTAATTACTGGTATATGGAATATTGTTTTAAATCATAATCATACAGACTCTACCTACTAAAAACCAATGACCAAAAGGAAAAAAATAAAATATATACTAATTTCAGATCAGACAATATAATCGAGCAATTAAAGTCCGGCTTTCAGTTCTTTCAATACTTCGATTAAATTTGTCAACTTTGATTATATTTAGAAATCCATCACAGAATTCCCATTTTTATTATTCAATATAGAAACACTTCAATTACCTCAGCCTCGCTGAATCGTTCCTTTTTAATTTTTTCTACGAGTTCCGTGGAATTTGCCGCACATAAGGCCTCTTCAGGTTTTCGACATCCTGTGTATTTCATCGTAAGATTTGGCGGAGGAATGATGCAGCTGTCCTTTTCCTGTTTCACCCACACATCAAATCTACCCTTTGTAGTATTCCCTTTATATTTTGTCAAGAACAAAATGATAAATAAATGTATAGCATACAAAGTCTTGCCAATGGAATACTGAAGTATACACTGCGAATCTATAAACAACAAAAAAAGGAGGAATTTTAGTCTTATAAGATATCCTGTCTGTATTAGGAAGAAATACTCAAATACTGGAATAAATCTAGGACCGGCACGAAATATCGATAACACATGTATCGATTCTGTGTGAGGACGTCTATTACAATGTACGTGCATATTGATAAATGCACGTATAGCGAAGTATCGCAACACACTTTTCTTCGGTCACATACTGAACATTATGGGTTTGATATTGAAAATAAATGCGTTAAATATTAACATGTATAAAACAAATTTATTTGTTAATTTTTTTACAACAGATATACTAATTATTTGAATGAATTCTTAATTGTGAAGAAATCTTTGATACAGTTAGATACAAATAAAAGTTTTTATAACCAATTAAATAAGACATCGATCGTGATACATTTCGTATAACGACTCAAATATCGTGGTACATATCGATATAGTATACAGTTAAAGTGTATCATTGAGGGTGTTAGCAAGATTCCAGTTCCCCAAATCCAGGACTATTTGCCAAGGCGCAGCCGAGGGAAATAGTCCTAGTCGTGGGGAACTGGAATCTTGCTAACTCCCTCAATGATATAATTTTTAACTGTTTTATTATACCGATACAAAAGTTTTTAAAAAATGATGGAGGATTACGAATGACGGGGAATTAGCTTCCGGACTACCGCACAGTGATTAGTCCATTATTCTACCTAAAGAGATACGGATAACCGGGAAATTAGCTTCCAAAGCAGGGATTAGCTCATTTGACTAACGCACGGGGACTTGCCCATTCAGAGAGATTTCTAGGGAATTATTCATATTTTACTGCCTAACTTTTATACAGGAAAAAATCAGTAGAGGTATGATAAAGAGTTGTATCGTCCAAGCTCTTGGAATCACTTGATTGGTTTACGATAAACTTCTACATACCATGCGAATAATTTGCTTCGAAAAAATTTGTAACACAAAAAAATTTCCAGAAAAACTAAAATTATTCATTATTATAATTATAACTTTTCATACCCTCACGTGCAGACATACCGAAGTTTAGATATTTAAGAAAAATGAGCAAGACCCCTCAAATACTAATCTGCCAAAGTAAGTTTCTGTGTAACTTGAATTCGGAACAGTGGAACAAATTAGGTTTTACCTATGTACGCTAGGAAATTTCCTGATCCCGAGATCGTCATTGTTAGCCCACAGGACTGTACATTTCTAAAGAAGAAAGTTATAATATATTATATATTTTTTGAAATACCGTATGGCGGGTAATTTTAGCGGGGTGCTAATTTTGACTTATTTTGGCGTTTTAATGATAGTCCGCTAAAATTTTTACCGTTAAAATAGCCAGTACTCTTCTTAGTATTCATCTGCCAGTTAGCTAAAACCCTGCGTCCGCTAATATCAATTATGCCTAATTTATTGGCATACCTTTAAGCGGGCAAAACGCCAAATTTCACACCCGCCAAAAAAACCCGCTATACGGTATAAGTTCAAGTGACTCTGATGAAAAAGTTGTTCTTGTAGAGTACTTTAAGAATTGCTTGTTTTTCCTCTCCCGAATGACTGATTAATAAGTTCGACTCTAAACTTATTGCTAACGCTCTCGAGCGCTAGCAACCACGTTAGTCCAAATTCCTGGAACGCATGCTCGGCTTCACGGCCGTGCATTCTGGGAAAAACTGTGAAAACTACTATAGATAGACCGTGCGACGATAATTTCGTTGTATCATTAAATAACTTTGTTTATTTATCGTGTAGCTTACACTTTAAAGATAACTACATACTTGTAATACTTCAAAGAGCTCGGTTCATATCATGCATAAAATGGCCCTGTAGATATACCAAATGATTAATGAACACTTGATGTTTCATTTGAAGCATTGAAATAAAATAGAGACTTAGTGCTTTCATTTCCTATCAAAACTTTTCTTCTAAAAGTCCAGGTCTAGGAGAACTGGCTTTTTGAACTTGCAATGTTCTTTGAATTTTAAGGTAAAAGATATATTTGAGTACTTTCAATGAAGAAAAGTAATATGAGCGCACTTTCTGAGCTAAAAAATAAAACATGCCTTTTTATCTTAAGAAACAGTTCTATCATTCACGATCTTTCTCGGTAACAAAATGGAGACGAAACGTCAGGAACTCTCAAATCCTTTGAAACAAGTTATAATGTCAGCGATTGCAAGAAGTGTCAATAGGTCTCTGGCTTCAGTGTACCGTTTTGTACAAATATCAAGACACAGGATCAGTGGAAAATTTGCCAAGATCAGGTTGGCCTCGTTCTATCGACGATCGGGACTATTGGAGGCTCCAGAGGATTGTTAATAGAGACCGGAGAGCACCCTTAGTGAAATTACAGCGCGATTTAATGAAAACAGAGCAACATCTGTGTCTCAGAAGACTGTCAAACGTAGACTTAAAGAAAATGGTTTCACTAGCTAAGAGATTTGTATAACAAAAAAGTTGTGATTATACCCGCACTTTCTAAAGAAAGTTCGGGTATATTGTTGTTACTCATGTCCGTCCGTCTGTCACACTTTTCTTCCCTGAACTCCTCCTACATTTTACACAGTAGCTTAATCATCTTTTGGGAGATGGTTGGTGGTGTCATGTAGATGTGCAGTAAGGTTTCGGAATTTTGATTTTGCCCCGGGGGGTCAAATGGGGGTCGAAAAATGATGTTTTTTAAGCTAAAAACCCCGTCTTCCCTGAACTCCTCCTACATTTTACTCAGCAGCCTAATCATCTTTTGGGAGATGATTGGTGGTGTCATGTAGATGTGCAGTAAGGTTTCGGAATTTTGATTTTGCCCCGGGGTGTCAAATGGGGGTCGAAAAATGACGTTTCTTATGCTAAAAGCCCCGTCTTCCCTGAACTCCTTCTACACTTTACTCAGTAGCCTAATCGTCTTTGGGGAGATGGTTGATGGTGTCATGTAGATGTGCAGTAAGGTTTCGGAATTTTGATTTTGCCCTGGGGGGTCAAATGGGGGTCGAAAAATGACGTTTCTTATGCTAAAAGCCCCGTCTTCCCTGAACTCCTTCTACACTTTACTCAGTAGCCTAATCATCTTTGGGGAGATGGTTGGTGGTGTCATGTAGATGTGCAGTAAGGTTTCGGAATTTTGATTTTGCCCCGGGGGGTCAAATGGGGGTCGAAAACTGACGTTTTTTATGCTAAAAGCCCCGTCTTCACTGAACTCCTTCTACATTTTACTCAGCAGCCTAATCATCTTTTGGGAGATGGTTGGTGGTGTGATGTAGATGTGCAGTAAGGTTTCAGAATTTTGATTTTGCCCTGGGGGGTCATATCAGTAGCCTGATCATATTTTAGGAGAGTTAAATATTTTGAAAATTAGGTAAAACATCAACATCATAGGGTAAAAAATCATAGCATGCTGGGAAACATCTTGAATTCTTACGAGTATTGTACATGTCAAATGTGAAAGTTATTATCTCTTCTCAATCCAAAGTTAAAAGCAAATGCAATATTTTGAAAAGTAGGTTAAGCTTCAAGGTCAAGGTCACAGATTCATGATAAAGTTAGAAAGGTCTTATCATAGGTAATAATATACATACATCTTTCAAAATGATGAATTTAAAACAATGTAATTTTTTTGCAAGTAGGTCAAACTTCAAGGTCATGGGTAAAAAAAATCATGGCATTGTCACAGGTAAATACTAATTATACATATGTTTAATACAAATGCCTTGTCTCTTCTCATTCAATAGATATGACTGTGATGACCAAGGTTAAATTGACAGACTGACATACAGATGTACATATACTGATTTCAATGTGAATTGTTAAAAATTGGCCCTGTGGTTTTAGACAAGTTAAAAATGTAAAGTTTCCATACAAACAAATGGACGACAGACGTAATGTGATAAAAAAAAAACTGAAAAGCTCAAATGAGCTAAAAACATAGGATTCACATGTATTTTGTAAAGGCTACCATGATTACAGTATTTGAAAAGCTTTTTTTTTTTTCAAGAAATTTTTTGAGAAACTGAAAATGTATGATATATGTATCCATTGTTGAAAAAACTGAACATTTCAGAAAACAGTATCATTGAAAATAGTTAATCAAGGTGTTTTGGGTAGCAAAATAAAGCTAGTAAACTTTTATAGCTAATTCAACCACAGAACTTAGTCAATTTTAAGATGCACAACCTTTTCAAATCTTATAATACATGTAATTATTTATAAAATATTTATGTAATCATTTCTGATTCAAGAGTGAACAAGAGATACAACCAACATGTTCATGTTTTATGTTATTTTTAGTAATTTGTTTGTTTGTTGTGAAAACATTTCTCTCTGGAATTTTTCCCTCATATGGAGACACCGCCGCTTTAAAGTAATGAAGACAAGATGTGTTTGTTAAACACTGATGCCCACGTATGGCAGCTTATGGCGAAGGTTGAAGTTTCTCAAATGTATGTCAAACTCAAAGGTCAAGATCCTTGTCACAAGGAATACACATGTGAAATATAAAGAAATCCCTAGTACTTCCTGTTCAAAAGTTAATTGACAAGGTTAATTTCTTTTTTTTTTAAATGGGTCTAACTCTAGGGCCAAGGTCAAACATATTTATACCTGTTGAAAGTTTATAATGAATACACATGTTAAGCATATGAAAACCCTAGCACCTACTGATAAAAAATTTAATCCAAATTACTGATCAAATTTCTGCAGACAAACAGTCAGACATTATTTATAAACACAAGAAACAAAATAGATATATATAGTCAAATGAAAAAAAAATTCTATTTTGGAGTCACACAAGATCAATTGCAATTTCATGAACAGAAAGTGGCTAGGGAGATTGGATCCCCCCCCCGCTGGAGTTTGCTTTCTTATTTAAATGAGACTATAGATACTGAAGCAAACAAAAAATTACTTTGGTCATCATCCCCCTTAGAAAACATTGACCCCACGACCCCACTATCATTGTTTTTATTTTGTTTTCAGTTTTTTGTCTTTGCTTGTGAGAAAATTCTGGGCTGACATTTTTTTGACCGAGGTGTGAACCCCCTCCTGAAAAAAATCTGGATCTGCACCTGTAACTGAATGTCACATCGACAACGGAAGATAACTTCACAATGTGAAATCCGATTATACTGTGGCATGCGATGATCTTTGAACTTTAACCTAATCTAAATTTTGCATTTCGGTTCATTTTACCCCAATCTAATACTTAAACTTGTACTTACAGACTGTCATAGGTCCTGTGAACTTCATGAAATATATAATCCAATTATAACACAAAATGATTTTTCAATACACATCACACTGCAGCATGTGCATGCTATCCTATTTGACAAACCTTGGCTAAATGCAGATGAAGCACGAATCGGCCGAGGTGTGCCGAGTGGTGCTTAATCTAAAAATATATGATAATGGGTGACGCAACCCAATGTGATGTAGAAATTTTCCAAAAGGTGTTTACATGTAAACATGTATACCCGGTGGTTCAAGAAAAAATTTTAAAATTAATTCATAACAAACTATGTTTTAACATAACTTTTCCATCTTCATGTGTATCCTATTAAAAAAAAGTACGGTTCGTGAGAGTGTGTGTGTGTGTGGTTTTGTTTTTTTTTTGGGGGGGGGCATTATTAAATTTAAAAAGGTACCAATTATGAGCAAAACATTTTTTAAAATCTAATTTACACATAGGCGTCTGAACCGGGGGGCTTAACCCCCCCCTTTTTTTGCAAAGATGGACATTTTCTATGTATTGAAAATTGGGGTTTACCTTTTTTGTTGGTTTAGCCCCCCCCCTCCCCACTTTCAATTTCCTTCCGACGCCTATGAAGCATATAAAATACATATAAGAGGCACTGAGTCATAGGTCACATAGTCACAGGGTCTGAGAATGTTATACTCAATGTGACGAATACATGTACTGTGTAAATTATAGAATTATTTGACTTTTTCCTTGGAAGCCTTTAAGCCTAATATATGTACGAGTGTGTATTTAGAGGCAAACACCTTAGTGCGGGTATTACTGTCTCATGACAGCATCTAGTTAAATTATTTGCGGACGACACCACTTTATATATTGTTGAAAACCCGACTATCGCAAGTACAATTTTAAATAGTGATCTCGACTAAATCCATAAATGGTCTAATCAATGGTTAGTTACATTTAATCCCCAAAAAACTGAAAGTTTAACAATCAGTACCAAACGTAACCGAA